GGGCGGGCCCCCTCCGTCGCTCTCGCTCCACTCAAACTAACTACCACTACTCTTCAGTCTCTTATCTTTTTTCTGCTTCGGCCGTCGCACCCGCCCCCACCTCCCTCTCCCTCTCCCTCATCCTCTCCTTCCTCTTCCTCTCCCATCCCCCCCTCCTGATCGCTCGTTCCCGCCATTTTGCCCGTGTGTGGTGCTACCCTACCCCCCTGGAATCCGTTGTGAATGTACCCCTCCCTGTCGACCACTGTCCTCCCGAAAGAATGAGGGAAGGACAGTGGAGGAGAGACAGAAGGGGAGGAGGGGAGGAGAGGAATGAAGTGTGAGGAGAAGAGAGAGGAAGAGGAGGAGGGAGGTAATGGTGAGAGGGCGACGAAGGGAAGGAGAAGAGACAGATGAAACACCTACATTATTTGATGGAGCGTGAGATTGCGAGGGGATGTGCTTCCATGAATCGGTGAGGGTCAGGTTGTCACATCAGAATCATGTCGTTCATGATATGATTCCATGCCTTTGACAGATTCTTGAGCATACCTCGTTTTGCGTTAAACATGCTATCATCAATGCTCGAGAAGGGAAAGAAACTTCTGCTTCGTGTTCATGACATCGAAGGATGTTTATGTCGCAGGATAACTCAAGAACTCTAACGTGTCAACGATAATCAACCATCCTCAGGAAGTCGATCTTCCCATGTCGGACTTCGAGCTCAAAACTTCATCTTCACTCTCTTGTCTTGCTCCAAGACCTTAAAGGCCCTCTGGCGCACCAATGCAGATTCCACCTCAACTTGGAATTGTACAGCTAGGAACTTACCTCCCATCCGAGGCTCTTGCGTCTTGGAGACGACCTTCAGGCCTTCCACAGACGCCAGCATGCCCGACAGCTCTTGCGCTACCTCTCCCTCGTTGCGCACAACCACTCTAAGTTCGCACGGGCCGGGGAATTTCAGAAGAGCCTCTGCCAGATGAAGGCTGTCCTCAGTGTCCTCGCCGACAGAGGGAGAGAACTCTCCTCTCAAGGCCCTCATCTTGTACTCGAACCTCACGTCTTCCTGCATGATCTCTTCGATCATGGGCGGCCGATCCCCGCACGACAACTCCCCCAGCTCGGGAAGGGCCTCGATCTCCTCCAGGCTCATCCCCTCCAGGCTCCTAGCCGCGTCGTCTGTGTTCTCTTCACCGTTCCCCTTGCACAACGATGTGCGGGATAGCTTTCGCTGTCCTCCCCTCTTCCCCCTTTGCCCATCAATCGAACAAGTGCGTGCACGCTCGGTTCCAAGTCTGCAAGGCAGAGGCTTCATCCCCCCCATGCCGCTGAGAGCGAATGACCATGCCATGTCCGTGAAGTAGAACAACATGGCGGCAGATAGCAGATATCGAGCTTCTCCTCCCCTTCCTCCCCTTCCCGTCACCATCGTCCTTTGCAAGTCCCTGATGAACCACCCACCCACTCCCGACCAACATCTAAAACCCTCCTTACCACCCCTACACCTCGTCAGTGACCTCTAGGCCGCTCAGTGACTCGATGATCCGGAGCCCGGGTAGCCCGGCCGCCGCCGCCGGGCGGCCCAGGGGCGGCCTGACACCCGGTACCAATTTATCAGTGAAGCAGTGAAAACACTTCAGTGTCCGATCATCACCGAGCATCCGATGATCATTCCGATGATCACTTGTTTTGGTTTCGTTCCGAAGTTCATCACTTCATGATACGGGGGCGAGTCTTAGCTCCGGGCGGCCGGCCTCCTCACCCTGGCCCAGGCCCGGGAGTCCGGTCCGACCGGCCCGGGTGGCAGGCTCCAGCCTCGGATGGCAGTGGACTCGGGAGTTCTCCTTTCGAAGTTCGGCCTGTCCGGCGTTCAACGGTTCTTGCGGCTCGCCGCAGCTGTCCGATCAGGATATCACTGCCGCCAGATCTTTCAGTAACTGATCTTTGAGTAAAGAAGCCTGAGACTTCCTCCTCGGAACCGAGATCCCAAGGGAGTAACTTGGCAAGAACGCAAAGCATGACATCGGGGGCCTGTCACGGTCCCCGGACTCTTGAAGTAACTTTTCAGTAATGATGACTTGGCGACTCTTGCCCGGCTGTTCGGGGGCTTTTGCCACTCACTGATCGGACTCCCAGGCTCGTCTCCGGAGTCCCCGGCCCGGAGACCAGCGAAGCAGGCAGTTTCTCTAATTCCCTCGGTCTGTCAAATGACAAGGCTGTTGGGAGCCAGCGGGCAGAGTCAATGAAGGGACTCAGCTAGGAACTCCCCTTCCAATACGACTCCTCCGTACGACCTCCCTACGACCTCCCTACGACCTCCCCCAGTCGCAAATTGCTAGGACTCCTTTCTAGGCCCTCAGCACTGCTGGCCTAGGGCGGGGAAGGGCGACAGGGAGTGGCGATGGTCATAAGCTTGACAGCTGCTGGACATGTCAATCCCTCCGACACTGGAAGGAGGCAGGAGGGGGAGGAGAGGAAGAGAGGAGAGGCTGGCAGGATGATGACAGCGGTGCTCTTCCTAGCCATGTTCGCATCAAGTTCCGCTGACTATCAGGGCGATTGGGATCGCGCGGTGAAGGAGGGGAAAGAGCACGCGTTCATCCCAGCAGAAGGGAGCGCCTACTTCTGCAAGAGCAAGGACGAGTACGTCAGAGAGGCAAATCACAGCGATGGGTACTTCTTCTGCCAAGATTACGTCGATTATGCCGCCGCTTGCGATGCGCAAGACCGCCGGTCATGCAACAACAGGTGAAGTGAAGGTAGTTCTACTGACTCTTCTGATTTCTCTTTCATAGATTTGCGATAGAGTCATTCAAAAACTTTCAACGAGCCCTGAACATGTACGGCTGCACAGGCTACAGCAAGATTTGGACATGCTCTAACTGCACTGACGCCTACAAACGATGGCTCTGTTCGCAGGAAATACAACGGCTTGCTTGAAACTCTTTCAAACAGAATTTGATCCCTCTTGTACCAGATCTACAAGAAGATGTACCTCCCTGGAACAGAGAGGACTGAGCAAGGCAAAGTCAAGAAGTCTTACCCTGCGGATTGCAGCAAGATAAGCCAGGTCCATGCGTTGACCGTAAACGCTGTGTGAGGTTGAATCATACTTGAAGGACAGCACCTCATCAACAAACCTCTACCTCGCAAAGGTGACACACCTTCAACTTCTCGACTGTCCAAAGCCTTTGAAAATCCTTGCCAGATCTGTAATGGGATGCCAAAAACACTGAGCAGTGATCTGATTAAAAATCCTGTCATGGCGTGTGGGAGCTTGGTACGGTCAATGGGCTTTGAGTCGAGGGTCTGATGTCGGTGATACAGCACGGTTGCTATGGCAACGTGTTTCTTGATGACACGGCGTCATCGATAGATGATTTCTACGTCAACAGCATCATAGAGATTATCTCTGATACAGAAACCAACGGCCAGTGGGCAGTCATCAGCAAGTACAGCGGTTTCTCCAGGTTTGTCAACGGCCTCTGCTTCTCATCTCCTTCACTTTGCTTCAGGCTCGCCATGTTCGACAAATGGAAGCTTCCTGCAGGCTCCCAGCGTGTGGAAGCAGCAGCGGTCACTGAAACTGACAATTATCGCATCTACTTGAGCGAGGATGCTCGCGGGAAATGCAGGTTTTGACACTCGACGACCTGACGCGTCTACTGAGTTTGTGCCTCCAGGAACAGCAAGAACCCAGCGCAGCGCATGGGAGCTCCTTGCGAGCTGGCTCAGTACCCTGACTTAGCTTGGCTGCCCAACGAGTTCATGTCATGATCCTCGCTCCTCCAGCTCCCTCCCACCTGATCGTGCCAGTCCCTTGCAGGGGAGGGACGAGGTGCCTGGAGTCAGAGCAGTGCCACAAGATCGACAGCAAGTACATCTCTCCGGTACTTTGAGGAGCTTGAGAGGCAGGGTTGCTGTATTCACTGTTTGCACAGACAGCAGCGAATCTATTTGACGTCAACGGGTATCCGAGATTGCCGGAATCAAAGTATGCATGTTGTCAGCGAGACGGGTCTGAACAAACAGCACGGAGATGAGGACTGTCAATAACTCTTATGACGTTGCAGTATCACAATCGTGGACAACAAAAAGGGAACAAACGGCACTCTAGAAGAGATGTGGAACATCTACACGCTCGAGTCAACCAACAATTCTGGGCAGATCCAGCATAACTGCTCGTGGCGACAAGGAAATACCCAAGAAGTGAACTCATAGTCGTCATCGAATGCCTTGCAGTAACACTCTTTCATACAGGAGGCCATCGCTGCCAAACCCACTAAGAGTTTCGTCACTACACTCGCCACCCAGGCGATCGAGGCGTCAGGGTAGGTGATCCCCTGGAGGCTCCTGGCCTTGAACCTCCTGCCTTGCAGCTGCATCTTCAACTTCTCTCGGACTCGAGACTTTGCGTTGGACTTCTGCGTGCTAAAGACCTGCTTCCCTGTAAGGCTGATGGCCCAGCAGGCTGACAGCTTGTCATCTCTTGTCTTAGGTGTGCATGGATGTCGTTCGCAAGTGTCCTCTGGAGATCGAGTTCAACTGCCCCACTGACTCAGACCGGAGGGAGTATGATTACTCTGCCTGCAACATCAACCTTGCAGAAGGATGCTCTATGGTCCTGATCTCTAGCGCAGCTGAAGCCAAGCTGGACAGGAGGCAGGTGCGAGATTGTGACTGACCGAGCAGCTTTGCGCTCTTGTACTCAGTCAGTGCCAACCTTTCAAGGTCGAGTGTTGGGATCTGAACGTCGGAGGGTATGGCCCCTCATACAAACAAGGGCCCAACATCTTCGGACTTCCCCCGGGTATCACTTGACTTCGAGCTTCTTCTCCTCAAGATTCGCGTGCTGCAGGGGCTACATGCAGGAACAAGGGATCCAATGTTGGCATCGTAGCCATCGAGCCCCCCAAACAGCTTCCAGCTGCTGGTACCTCCGTTTGTGACCGCTCAGGCGCCTTGCCGCAGTGCTTGACTGTCAGTGGGGACAGGAGAGAAGGAAGAGTCGAACAAGTTCTGGGAGGCAAGGAAAGACGAAGGTGGAAAGATGCTTCGTTACTTCAACGCGTACGGCTCCAAGGTGAGCAGTGAGTTGCACTGCAGCCGAAGGGCCGGGCATCGGACCCGACGGTCGGAGCCTTCACTCAAACCTGCCATCTCTGACAGGATGCTGTCGTCTGCGCTGATCCAGCCTGAAGGAACTTGCCTTGGAACTCAGTGACTCGGTCGCCGTCAATCATGTCAAGTTACCGACTCGCCGCTTGAAGTTAAAAAAAGTCTGATAGCTTTTACTCAAAGTTAAGTTAAAAATCAGTACGAGGACAATCAGGATCAGGAGTCTTGACCTGAGATAGAGTAAAGCAGAACCGTTACAAACCGTTGTCGGACACTGGCGGGCCAGGCTGATCGTACCAGAATTGGGCCAAAAGCGGAGAAAAATAGTCTTGTTGACAGCATGGTATCAGAAGGAGACAGACTGGTGCTGGGTTAAGGAGAAGGTGGAGATTTAACTTAACTTTGAGTAAACAATGCTACTGGCTGTACTAATCTAGTACGCCGAGGGTAGACGATAATTTTACTCAAGTCTGTGGCAGTAGTGAAGTAGCGGATCTGTTTCGGGATGAAATTGAAAGGTACTATGCTAATATTCCTAGGACCCGGTCCTAGCAAGAAGTCAGCGTCCCCTAGGGCATTCCCTACTACACAGCAGCAGTAGGTGTTCACAAGACTAGGCCAGGTAGAAATCGTACCGCTGATGCCTGGTAAAGGGGTGGGTACAGGATGGAGGTAGAGGGGGTTCAATTCCCCCCATTCTCAGATATTGTCGCTAGAGGGGTGGGGTGGGGTAGTCAGGAGCGCAGGAGCAAACGTGGGAGGGTGATAAAACTGGGGAAAGGACTGGGGGTGGTCAGGGCACCGGAGTAGAACTGATCATGGTGAAGCAAGAAGGAAACAGCAGCAGCTATAGTGACGAAGAGAGGGGGAGAGGAGGAGAGGAGGAGAGGAGGAGAGGAGGAGGAAGAGGAGATGAGTAGGAGAGCAGGACGAGAGGACCAGAACCAAAACAGGGAGATGAAGCGAATACTGATGCAAACGCTTTCGAAGTTGCGATGTCTTCATGTTTTCCATGCTGGCCTTTACATTGTTATCCTGGTACCAATATGTTCCAATATAGAACATGTTTACGTTTTAGAAGAGCTGTATGACGACTGTATTGCAAAAGGAGATGCATAGAACAGCAACACTCATTCTTGACAAGATCATATCCCTGCACAAATCCATTAAAACGAGAGAATATTTTTCTTTGGATCATTGTGATGTCACCGAATAATGGGAGTCTTCATTGTTTTATCTGATTTACTTCATAGCAAAAATGGGAAATGAGAATTCTGTTCCGAAGAAGCAAGGGTAAGTAAGAAGTTTTGTTACACTCCAGCCTTGTGCCCGGTGCATTTTCATTCGATTTCTGCATAGGGAACCGGATATTCTTGAAGCGATTGGGCTGGGATGGATAGCACCCAAGTGCGTGACCTCAGCTGCCTTGTTGAGAGACTGAGACACAGCTTGGTCAGGGAAGAACCTCATAGTAGATCCAACGGAGAGAATTTGCACATATTCTCCTCTTCCAGTCAAAACCATGAACCCAAGGTGGAGTCTTCTTCTGCTCCACTTCTTTTCTCTTCCACTTCTTTTCTTCTTTTCCATTGTGATTGTTTTCGCTTCTTGTGTTATACTTGGTCGTGTTTGTTCCCTACATGGTTGACTCGGTGTCGGACGAATTGATGTTGGCTGATCCAGTTCCATCATGACCTCATCCCTGGTCGGATACCGACGGTAAAGCTCGTGCAGCGGAAGTGTCTTCCACTCATACTTGTGCAGGGACATTCGAGAGATTTAGATTATAGGCGAGAAAGCTGGGTTCCAGACCTACCAGACATGAGCTCGAAAGGCAGCGTAATACCATGTTTGCCGTGTTGATGGATCCTACGTGACAGTCTGCAGGACAAGTCAGGTTCGAGGAGCAGGAGTGTCAGCCGTGAAAGGGGAAAAGAAGAGTACATTCGAAACGATCTAGGGTACGCAATTGCTACCATTGCTAAATTCGTCTCATCCTGTTTACCTCCAACGATTGTTGAGGGATCTGACCTTTGCTTGCAGTGTCATTGTCGGGAAGCGATCTTCCAGGCAGGCTAGCCCTGCTCGGTCCAAAGAGGGTTCAAGGTCTTCCTCTAAGGCAAAGAGCCGTGGGGCAAGTCCAGGACTAGACCCCAACCTCGGAGCAGTACATTTCTCAGGGTAAGAGTTTTCACTTGGAGAGACGGATTTAAACGACTCGTCTGATCCACCGTTACGTTAGGGGCGGCTTTTCAAGGGCATCTTCGTCCGGTTCACACGGGGGTTCACGGAATGCGTCGCCGTCTCGAAAGTGATTTGCGGTTGTCACCGGAGGTAGAGGAGAGATAACACCCTCGTACAGGAAACATATGGAGAAGGTTGTCTCCAGGCTACAAGAAGTGTTGAACGGAGATGTGGGCGATTCGCTCGTCCTCAGCACATTTCCAAAGGAGAGGGCTGTTCGCACTGAGTGATTACTCTGTAGCAGTGATTTCAGTGTTTGAACATGCGATGCTCGATTTCGAAGGAGTTTTTTGGATGTGTACATTGAGAGTCAACATCACGGCAAGATAAATCTCATTGTTCCAGTGATTTATCAATAACATAGAATATACATACTTGTCAACGCCTGCGCTTGACAGAGGTTACCCTTGCATTCTATAGCACAATCAAGCAAATGCAGAAACCAACGACAATAAGAATAATCCCAAGGCTGTGCAGATCGACATGAAAACCGTCCAGTTGCCAGACAGTCCCCACGCTGCTTCCGTTGAGTCCGGCTCCTATCCTGACCCCTTCCCTGCTTGTGCTCCCGGCAGGACAAAACCACCCGTCCCGTTGCAGACATGGCCGGGGTAGTTCCGAACCCCCTGGGCAGAAGTGACCTGGTGGACACAGTCTTCCTGTGCATGCAGCGGATCCTGTCGCACAGTACCGTCCAGGAGGAGCAAGGCACGGAGCTGCTTCCGCTGTCCCGCCAGGGCAGCACTTTCCTTCGGGACACCTCCTCCCTTCAGGGAGGTCCTTCATACTTTGACACACGTGACCAGGGGACGCCCTGCAGGGTGGAGGGTCGATGCAGACGAAGAAGCCCTCTCCTTCCCTGTAGCCGCAATGACCCAGCGTACAGTAAAAGGCTTCTCCTCGGTCGTTGCACCCTGTGTAGTCGCAGTCCGATCCATCATGGCAGCGGTAAACTGCGATCGAGGCTTGAAGGAAGCAGGATTGAACCAGAAGAGTGAAAAGGAGTGGTCGAGCCATCTTGTGGGCTGGTATTCCTTTCGCTGCGCTTGAATGCTCTATCTCTGACTGCAGGGGAAACTCTCTTCAGCACCTCAACGGTTTGTGCTTTTCAAAAACAGCCCTACAATTCAAAACAGAGAGGAGAGGCTCGAGTACTGAGCTTGACTCGTGATGCTTATCTCATCTCAAGCTCGATCACGCTAGTGTTTCTCTCTCAGTATTCCCGGGAAGCCTTCATGATCTGATCGCTTCGTCAGCAATGCACGACCTTCTCCCCTAAGTTGTCACGCCATTACGCCAACATGAGCTCGCTATTTTGGGCAAAGTCAGTCAAAATGCCAACTTCCAAAGTTCAGCCGCCCCGGCACTGGTCCGCCGGGCCGGCGGGGCTCCGGGACTCGGGACCCGGCGGACCCCGCCGGGCGGGGTGGCCGCTAGCTCAGCCCGCCGACTTCAACGCCTCCGGTCGCGGTACAAACCGGCGTGTGAGTCACTCCAGCCCCGGTAGGGCGGCCCGGCGTGGGCCATTCCGATCGGAGTTCCGAACTTGAGTTCAGCCTGTGCACTGCGGCACTGAGACCTGCACTGAGACTGAGACTTTACTCAAAGTTAAGTTAAAGATCATTACGAGGACAATCAGGAGAGTCGAGGAGGCTTGACCCTGACACTGTCCGATCGCACAGGCCAAACGGCGAGAAGAGAAAAGACAGCGAGAACCAAACCCAATCCTGCCGACTGCTGTCCCCCAAACTTAACTGATACCTTCACTTAACTGCGCGCTGGACAATCCCCGCCACCTGCCCCGCCACCTGCCCCGCCACCTGCCCCGCCACCAGCTGCCCCGCCACACTAGTACTGCTGGGTATGAGGGGGATGATCAGGACTTATCGGGGCCGCACATGCCACATGGAGAAAGGGGAAAGCGAAGGAGGAGAGGATGGGATGGGAGAGGGAGGGAGGAGAGAGGATGGGATGGGAGAGGGAGGGAGGAGAGAGGATGGGATGGGAGAGGGAGGGAGGAGAGAGGATGGGATGGGAGAGGGAGGGAGGAGAGAGGATGGGATGGGATGGGAGATGAGAAGGGAGGAGAGAGGATGGGATGGGAGAGGGAGGGAGGAGAGAGGATGGGATGGGATGGAGATGAGAAGAGGAGGAGGAGGAGGATTGAAGGGAAGGGAGAGTAAGAGAGGAGAAGGGGCTGGGAGATTTAGACGTGCATCTGCTAGGGGAGCAGCAGGAAGGGGTCACAGAGCGAAGGCCGAGAAGAAAACAAACGACGGGAATTAGCAACAAGGGGAAGGGCAGGAAGACTAGGAATCTAGTGTATCCAACTTCAAAGAGCATGTTCGGTTTCCGAGTGAGTCAGTGGAGGGCAAACGCTCGGACTTAGTCAGCATCGGTAATCGTGCCTTGTTCATAGCAGATTGCCTACTGCCTGAGATGGGTTACAAACTCGCCTCTGTCTTCCTTGCTGTAAGTGTGTCATTGCCCGATGGCCTCGTTCTCTCATCCTACATGGCAGGGAGGATGCAATCGAGTGCCGGCATGCGCCGACGTATCCGAGGGGGGCTGGTTCATTGCGTACGGATGCGGTGAAAACCATCTCCATTATCTGTCACTTCTGCTCCTCAACTTTCATCGTGCTCTGAGATCATGCCCGCCATACAGGTCCTCTTGTCATGGTCTCCTCTCCCCAGACGTCCACGTGTCTTGCCGCCATCCGGTCTGGAGGGAACGTGTGCTGTTGTTGTCTCCTGATGGCGCAGCAGTGGGCACCAGGACCGTGTGAACTGCGTTAGATGGATCTCCGCACGAGACTGCAACGACCCTGCTGCTGGTGACGAGACGATCGCTAGCGCTTGCTCACTGACATGGATCCCTCCCGGGAGCAGCTGCGGAGTTGGTGTCGAGCTCGTCGGACAAGACTCTGAAACATTGGAAGAAGAAAGATGGGGAATGGAAGTGCGGGCAGACGCTTGCAGGACACGATGGTGAGAATGTTGCTGCTGAGCGAGGGCTGTCTGAGCATGCGCGTGCAGGGTCGGTAACCACCTTCTGCATGACGTCGGTGAAAGATAAGGGACTACGATTGGCGTGAGAAGAGCGCGGCATGCTGGTTGTACGATGATGAAATCTACCGTAGGGCATCACTTGCAACAGACGCCACCTTGATTGTTTGGAGATCACAAGAGAAGACAGCCAGCGGAGACTTGTGCTCTGATTGTTTGGAGAGCAAACGATGGGCTGACGTGTGTGTCTTGCAGCGATGATTGGGTTCGGGTGCAAGACATCAGTTATCCTCCTGTAAGTGGATGGGATGATGCTGATTGTGATCGATGACGTGATATGCTAGAAAAAGATTCCTGTCTCCATCGATATGGTGCACTCGCCCTCAGGTTTACGATGTCTATAGATGAGTTGTTGTTGTTGTTGCTGTTGATCCTTGTAATGCTGCTGCTGCTGCTGCTGCTGCTGCTGCTGCTGCTGCTGCTGCTGCTGCTGCTGCTGCTGCTGCTGCTGCTGCTGCTGCTGATGATGAAGTTATTGTTGTCGGTAGAGGAGGAGGATCGCCAAGTAATTGTTTGACTCTATGTTTCAGGCTTCATGTTGGCAGTGGGGCATGTTGACTCCACGGTTCGTCTACTTGGCGATGATGGGCAGGTAACGATGAAGATAAGACGATGAAGACAAGAATGATTGAGAAAACCATGATGTCGAGAACATAGCGTTGGCATAATTTGATCACATATGCACTTTTAAGCCTTGTTTTGCCTGTCCCTTGAATGTAAATGCTGAGAGCGATCAACAGAGTTGGGAAATGTTCTTCTGGTTCATTTCTTTGGTCTTCAGGGGTTTCAAGAGCTCTGCACCTTCAAAGGACACGAGGATTGGATCACAGCCCTTGCGTTCCACATCGATCATGGGTAAGATGCGTTCCGACGATTTTTCTTCCACTTCTTTTCTTCCCACTCCCATTCTCTTCCTCCTCCTCCTTCTGACTTTCTCTTCCTATTTCCCCCCCCTCTATCTCCTCCCTCCCTTCCCTCGACATTCGTTGTTATGATCTCGTTGTTGACTACACTCCTTCATCTGCGATTTGCTTGTCATTCTTTTGATTTTCTGCCCTGCCAGAAAACAATTCCCTCTCCACCTTGCCACGGCCAGTGCGGACAGTAACATCAGAATATGGGCGATCGACAAGGGAAAAGATCCTGAAGGTATGAATATCATGCCTGCAAATGTTTTCATTCTTGCTGTACATCCTGGCACGCATCCCTTCTTTGTGTTGCCATGTTCTTTCTTCTATCTTGTATTTGTCTCCGTCTTTCTG